ATCGTTTCAGCCCGTAAAATTCGCAATAATTCAAACAAATCATCATCGGTATTCATTGTGCGACCGTCCGTAACTACTGCATACAAAACGCGGTAAGTAAAACTTCGATGTCTGCTAATTACTGCTTGTTTGCTTACTGTAAAGGTCCTTCCGTTCAAGAACAATTTCTTCGTGGTAGTCATTCTTCCAAACTCTTTTAAAGCTCGTTAATTAGAGAGAGTTTGGAAAAATAAAGAAATTAAATTCTAAAAACAAACAAAGCAAAATGCTGTTAATAAAGAATTCATTCCCTATGCGTGGAACAAAATTTTAAGACCTTTTAAGGCATCTTTCAACAGAAGCACTGGTATTAGCTTGTGCTGTATGAAGCCGTAAGTATTTGTACATATGCTCAAAGTCAGCTACGGAATAGTTCCATGAAGTCACACCTACTAAAAGTATCATCGATTCAACTCCCCATTTGTATCAGGTTCAAATGAACTGCTAGGTAAACTGACTCAAGTCCTATGTGGCAAACAATCGGCGAGCAAAAGAGCCTGCTGAAAGTATGGCCAAAATCTGGTGGCAATATCTAATACAGAAAAAAAGCTTCTTCTTCAGCACAGAGCCATGAACCACAAAGGTCACCCTGGTTTATCGAAACACTTCTTCTCATTCTCTTCAAGCTTCAGCAGCGGCAAGTGTGAAAGGAGCGATTTGAACACTTGTGTTCCGAAATTGCAAAAAAGGCCCGCTATCCAAACTCATCCATTGTTCGATTTGCTTATTTCTTACTTCAATATACTAGTAAAGATTTACTTTGAATAAGCCTGGACATATTCAGAGTTCAACGTGTTTATCCGAAGAAGTGTTTGACCACGCGGTCAAATTATTTAAGTAAATAAAATTTTTTATCACAGAATCATGAAAAAATTTACCTGAACGAGATATCCGCAGAAAAAACAATTATTAAGAATAGTGTACAGTTAGGGTAGTAGTTGTTAATAATGCAGAAGTTACTGATAGACAGCGATATTTTCTGGCCATGTGTAAATGACTTCTGAATCGGACTAGAATAAACAAACTTTATTTAAACTGAAAATAATCACCAGTGGAACAGATGAGCACAATAGAGGCAATTTTAAAGGCGAAGAAGCCAAGCAAAAAATCAAAGGACAATAATAACAGAGCTAACTGATAGACAATATCAGAAAATATCATACAGAATGAGTGTGAAAATCACGATCTTCAATTGCGGTAGACGAAGACGCAAATGAAGCGGTTACAAGCGCGAGTACAACCGGCGCGACAAAGTCAATTTGGTTGAGGGCCTTAAAGTTGCGTAAAAGACGCCTAAAGGCGTGCAGTTGTGCAATCAAGCGATCTGGTTAAAAACCAGAATTACAATGAAATACTGGGACAAAGCGCCAAGAAAAGGAAGTTTGAAACAGGAAAAAATGTGATTCATAAAAGTAAGATTGTTATCAACAAAAGTTATCCGAGACGCCGCCACTCATCAGAGCGCCATGCAGCTCGCTGATTTAGTCTGCAAAGGCTGAACGATCGCAGGTGGTAAGCTGCTTCCGTGGTCTGTCTGACAAGCTGTACAATCCGTTCATATTATATGCCTTAATTGGCTATCAGCTGTGCATTATGTACAGAAAAGTCCTAAACGTTCGCCGTATTGTCCAGCGTGTTCAATTTACTAAACTGGTTATTCTGCAAACAGTTGTGTTTTTGAGGCGCACACCTGACAACACCTGGAGCACATATTGGATTTGTAAACTGAAAAACACCTTGGATATTAATAATTCCCAGTTTGCTGGGATGAACTAAAGAGGATTATGATCGGATGAAGAATTAAGAAAAAGTGGGAAAGAATGAGACACAGATGAAAACAGCGCGTTCTTTGCTAGACAGTTATGAAATAATGGAAGCAATTTTTTTGAACAAAAACACCGCTCATTCACAGATTCGAAAGCAACAACAGGAATGAGACCTGAAATCGCCATGAAACTGCACCCCCTTTTGAAGCCGCAGGGCACATAATTGAAAGGTAAAACTCTACTTCTAGCGACCTTAGCGTGGAAAATTTGTACAGTAACTTCGCCGACAAATCGTACCTTTGTTTCACGAAGTAAACCCCTATAAACCTCTTCACAACTGCCCCCGGCCTTTCTTAAGCGAAATTACACAATGTCAAAAGCTCGTCAGCTACCCCTAAAACCGGAAGACTTACGACCTTCAAAGTAGCAACAACAATGCTCATCCTTCAATAACCAGTAACCTATCCCTACACCCAACACCTCCACAACGCACCCGAAAAAGAAGCCATTGCCTCCAACCTCAGCTCGCCCATACAACAACCAGTGGCTTCTGTAACAACCACGGCAGCAGACCCTCAGCTCTCATTTCGATCACCTCTGTCCAAGCCAGGCAATGAGTCATCCACACTTAAAAAGCACGCTTTCCCACACACTTCCATACTCCACTTCGACAAGCACTTATCCATCTACCCTCTCCTTGCAATCAACTCCATTATCAGTCTAAGAAAAGAAAGGAACCACTATTACCAAATTCCGGACACCCAACGCCAATCACCGCCTTCGCACTTCTCAAAATCATTGTCTCAACAATTCGAGAGCGTTTGTAAAACCAAACTGAAGGATTTACTTGCCTCTGACAGACCCTGGTATAAAATATAGTAAAACAACAAACAAAGTCGATAAATCCACTGTAAACAACAAAATCGTGGAAGTACAAAGAAATAAAGGTCGATTCTAGGTAGAACCTAACTCTGCTACTTTTCCCTCAATCCTTTTTCAAGCAAAATAGAGAGCAGGTTAAACTTATCACATTTCCCACAATCAAGGTCTCAAAAAACACTCACATTCAAAGGTTTAACACTGCATGTCCTTCAAAGACAGCGCAAAAAATTTGAAAGCCAGTAATATCTTAGTCAACAAAAACAATACAGTAAAGACAAACAACTTCTATACAACTAAATTTACGAGATCTGAACGACAAAATTGAAAATCAAAGGAAAAACAACATGATCAGCAGAAATGATTCTATTCTGTGGCAACTGTAGTAGCTTCCTTATCATGCTCCGCGAGTTCAAGTTCTGGTTGCTCAGATTCAGGTTGTTTTGAACTATCCTTCTCATCATCTCCGCCAGCTTCACTGACTAAAAACTCGTCAGCTTCCATTGGCTCCCCTTCGACTTCGTCAACCAAAGTGAGCTCTTTCTTCTCTTCAGCTGTACCATTCAGAGCTGTTTTGTAAGTTTCAGGATCTTTCTAAAATAACGACTTTTCTCACCAAAGTTCTTAATGCCAAAGAGGTTACTATTCCACTCAAAGTATCTCCTACATATATATATATATATATATAT